AAACAGAAGAATCTGCTCCAGTGCCACAACCATCTTCACTTTAGCCTGTATAATTTTGTGTTGAGACACATTAGAGTTTAAACAACTAACGCTGCGACCAGAATTGGTGGGGCATGCTTTAAGGATCAGTGTAGAAAACAGACTCATAAGCCTCCAGGASGCATTTTGAAACACGTATTTGAAAGTTACGGTCCAGGGCAGAGCCGAGTTCAGGTGTCCTGCCCCCCTGAAGCTGTTTTGCCACCGAGTCATCTGCAATGCGATGCTGAAAGCCGCGGCGTGACAAAACCACCAGCTGAAGGGTCTCAATTTGGTACTGACAAAGTTCAAAGAGAGCTTTGCCACAATGGGCATTACAGCAAAGCACGTCTCCATCCATGCGCCTGAAATTACTTCTGCGGAGATGAGTAGTGGCTTTATTCCCCCCTTGGCGTTCATGTCATTCTGCGGGCTGGCAGGGTGACCCGGTGGCACCGCGAGGAGCGGAGCTCGTCCTGCCTGCCTTCAGCTCGATAGCCCATCATCATTTCAGCAACAGCAGCTGTAGATCTCCTGCCTCACTGAAAGAAATTGGTATGCAGCATTGCCCAGGAGGGCATGATCCTGCAAAAAGACCTGGAAGCGTGAGGGATGTTGTCAATAGGATTACTTAGATGCAGCTGATCTCTTAGGATTAGGTGCAGAATCACTGCCTGTATTAATATTTCAGCGTAAAGAATAAAGGCCACATGGTTGTTGAATATTCATGCTGTTGCAGTGTTCTCTATGTGAATTCTTTAGCAGAAACATGCAAAGTCTGTACCCATACCCTGAAGAGTTTACCAGCCAAAGCCCCAATTAAAGAAGTACTTAAGTATGTACCCTGTTTTGAGCATGTGGGGCAGTCGCGTTGACTAATTGCATTCCTCGAGTGAGAAATGTGCTCCGTTTCCTTACTTAATCAGGACTCAGGTTCAAAACAATATAAAAGAAATGGGAGAAAAAAGATGAAAATTTAATTTATGCCTCCATTTCCAACACCTCATTAGGTCAGAAACATGTAAAGGAAAAGGCCAAACAGCACCTCTACCTACGAAGCCATTCACAGTGAGACCGACAATCCACCTAATTGCAGAAGAAAGGAAAGCAGTGGAGAGATGTGGAGTAATATCAGCTGATGGAATAAACCCAGGAACAACACAATACATTTGTGAGAGGGAAGGAGCAAAAAAGAGACAGGTCCCCTGAATAAGCAGGACGTACATGACATTACAACAAACCAGATGGAAGGTCAGAATAATCAAGGGCKTTGAAGGTGAGGGCAGACTTGTTATTTTTTGTTTTTGCTTTTGAAACAAAATAAATTAGGCAGCAAGTCTCCATGTAAATGAGCACTTATAAAATAGCCTTTCTAGGTGAATAATTTCTTTTACTATTAATAAAATCTGCAATCTGAGTAACAATGTTCTGATGACTTTTTGCCATTTGCAATTATTGCTCATCCCRGCACCAAAACCTCATTATTATTAGAGCTGACAAAAAAATATTTAACTGCTTCCGTGAAAGGACTTAATTTTTAGAAGAATCGGATGCTCCAAAGCTTTAGTTCTGCTTCCAAACCTTGAAAGCGAAAATAAGGGCATCCTAGCAACCCTCGCGTGCCTCTCCTCCGATTCCAACAAGTAATTTGGATAAAAGCCTCTAATTTGTACAGCAACACAAAACGCTCCAAAGCATACTTCCCTGCCTTAAAAGCAACCCTGTAAGGGTAGGGAGTTAACATACCGCTGCACGACTGCAAGCAGGCATTTTATACTATCAACATACATATTTTGCCCTTTTTTTTTTAATATAGCTGTTTTCTCCTGAGGAACTAAAAGCATTTAACGGCTACTGTAGGGCTCGCAGTGCTCTGTGAGTAAGAGTATATAACCTGCACTTAAACGGCACAGGAGCCAAGGTGCAGCAAMTGCCAGCTGGGGCAGTGTTAGGAGCGGGGCTCTACGTACGGCTCCAAGCTCGGGGACTAAATCTGAGATAACATGTGCTATCTACAGAGAGAAAGCAAAATGGGTAGTTTTGCACCTGTGGAGACGTTCGCATTAACATCAGCTATGTCTCACTGCACTCCCCGCTCCACTAGTGGTTAGCGATACCACATCCCACTTGAAGGGACTCGCCAGTGCAGATGCTCTTAGAGGGACTCAAGCACATGGGATTCAACGAGCACCATCCGCCTGCTGCAGCTCCCAGGATGACCTCCCGAGGTCCTTCCCGAGCAGCTCAAGCCAACGGCGTTCCTGCTGAACGCAAGCCAGGTCACGCTGTGGTTTCTCTGCCGCATCCCAAAGCTCATCACAGATTCATACAGAAACCATGACCCCCGACGTCTGTGACTAACATGTTCTGCTTCATTTTACCTGCTCCTTATCCTCAGGAGAATGAAGTGGAGCAAGCCCAAATCTTTGCTTCAACGCACGTAAAAAAAAACACCAAAATGAAAAGCAAAACTCAATCATTCTCTTCAAGCACCTCGGTGCGGGTGGTCATTTGAGGTCTCGCTTTGAGTTTATACACACACCCTAACCCTTTCTCCCCCCAGAAAACACTTCAAAAAACAATCAGTCCAACAGGCCCAGAGCACTGCTGCAATTGCAGTAACTGCAACACAGCCACAGCTCTTCACTTGTTCCTGTTTTGTCAGCTCCTCTCTTCTGCACCCACATATGAGGTCATAGATAAATACCAAAGCAAGGAGCTTGCACCTGAATTTCAGCCATCCTGGGCAAACCACTAATTTTGGTGCAAACCCTGAAATGCTGCTGCCCTGGGTCCTTTCCCTGTATCCAGCTTACATATGAGCAAGTCAGCAAAGCACACAGCAGTGTGTGCTTTGCCCAAGGGCCACCCCACCAGCTTGGCAAGCTAAGGCTGAGATGGTTTTCCGAAGTGCCCATCCTGGGGAATGTCTCCTACCATATATATTCACTTCCAGTATCGAAAAAACAGACATATTATTCACTGGGAGAGCTACTTAAAAAAAATATATTGGTGAACATTTAATTTCACTACTACCACAGTACAATTACAGTTGTTGGTATCTGCAATTTACAACATTATATACACATGCAGGAACAAACATAAAAGAAAAATGTAAAATAAAAGCCTTATTCAAAATTTAGACTCCATTTCCAGCAGCAGTTTCATATATGCATTATTATACATGCTATTTATGATTTTTTTATTGGCAGCATACAGAAAAAGATTACATACACCTCCCTATCTACACTTACACATACACACATTTTCCTGTTTTATCATGAACATTCTAATGATAGGAATTGAATAAAGGTTTTTAAATTACCAAAGGTACACTGAAAACTGTAAGCTTGTTGCTCAGGGAAATACACCCGTGGAGATCATTCCCAAAGCACAGTATTTTTACTTATACTTGCAAATACAGGAAGAGACTGCCAGAAAGATTATGATGAGGATTTGTTGGGTATACTAAAGTATCCAACAAGGAAGCATTGGAAATCAATCTGAGCATGGTTGTAGATGGCAACACAGTGTGGAGAAAGAGCAAATAGAGAAGAGGAAAAAGAAAGGACTAAAAAGACTTGATGGTCTTGGCAAAGGGCAAGTTAAGAAAGATGAACCTGAGCCAATACTGTGCTCTTGCAAAGAAGGTCAAYGCATCCACCCTGGGTTGCATCAGCAAAGGCACAAACAGCTGGCATAGGRAAGAGACCCTTCCCCTCCCTTGGCACTCCTCTTTTCTAGGACAAGACATGGACATCTGGGAGCAGTGTAGAGGAGGCCACTGAAGGTTGGGGCATGGGACGTACAAGGAGAAGCTGAGGGAGGTGGGTCAGCTCAGCCTGGTGAAGAGAAGGCTCATAGGAGACCTCACATGGTTTCCAACTACCTAATGGGAGTGTCTCTATTCTCAGATGTGCATAGTGGCACTACAAGAGGACACAAGCTGCAACATTGGAAATTTAGATTAGAGAAGGGGAAAAGGTTCCTTAGGAGGGTGGTCAGACAAGGGAACAGGGTCTCAGAGATGTTGTGGAATCTCTGTTCTTGAGGATATTCAGAACCTGCCTGGACACAGTCCTGAAAACCCCAATTTAGTTGGCTTTGCTTTGAGCAAGAGGTTGAAGTAAAAAATTTGGAGAGATCCCTTCCAATGTGAATTATGCTATGATTCTAAATAGCTGGTTGAGATAAGCAAGAAAACTGGTCAAAGGAGGAAAACAATAGAACAAATAAGCTGTAAAATGGCATCAAAGGCTGGGATCAGCTCCATGAGACTTTAAAAAAAAAAAAAAAAANAAAAAAAAAAAAAAAAAAGCAGACTGGGTAAAAGGCAAGGAATGGGAATGAGGGAAGTAAAATAACAACGGGCTGAAAGAGGAGAGGGCAGCAAAGATCAAGGTTGTGAGGAAGAGGGGGGGAAGAAAAGACCCAGAAATCAAATCTGTGTCCACTAAATTGAATTTTCCTTCAATACCTGGAAGATGAAAATCCATATGATTCCTTCAGAGATGAAATCAAGTATTTAAATCAAGTTTCCACTCTGATATCACATAAAAGAATTTGGGTTGGAGGGGAAAGGATCATTTTCTTACAGAATATTCTCATTTTTGATACAAAAACATGCACACATTTCTCAGTTTAAAACTCAAAAAATGACAATACCTGAACAACTAGCTTACAGCCTTCTATGGTTTTATAAAATATACAGCCATGAGCCTTCAGTGAGGCTGTTGAGATATAACCTTTGCTCTTGTCCTGGAGCTGTACCACCAAATGCAGAGGCTACTGCTGATTTACAGCACTAGCATTGCTACCTTATTTTTCTATTGCAACTCCAAAGCTCAGTAGCATGGGCTCTGATATGGATTTACTGCAGTCACTGAAAGGGAAAGAGTAACCCAAATTGTGTTTGTGTAAGTGGACAAGAGGTCATAAAAGGAAAATGAAAACACAACCAGAACAGATATCCACAAACTTACCTTATGATGTCCAGAATCTGTATTAAAACCAGCCTCAGGTGTAACAGTCAGTAGACAGGACAGCAAACCCTTGCATTTAGCAGGGGGTTTCTGGGAAGCCAGATTACCTAGAAAGAGTTGAAAAGCATTATTTTGRTAGGTGAAGATGGAGTCATCTATGCTTAATAAAAATAGCYACCACATACAAGGAAAAAAATAATTCCACAATGGGAGATGCTATACGTCATGATGATCAGCATGAAGAATTCAATCTACTAAAARTGACAAAAATTTGCTGCGAAGTATGTAGAATTAGACGTGGTAGATTCTTAGGGTTTGGCAAAGAATATCTAATACTCAAGATATCACGGTGTTAACCCTCTAATCAAGGATGTGGAGGAGACCAGAAAGAGCATGATATTTTGCTTAATTAGTTACTATCAAAGAGAAGACTAGTTCAAGCATTTGCACAAAAAGAAGCAATCCAAGATTATTTGAAAGTTTAATAGTGTTATAGAAGTCATTGGTAGCGCAGGGTTTTCCCATGAAATAAAAATAATCCCTGGAGATAAATTTAAGGAAATATATCTCATTTTAATGCCCAGAGTAAAGTGACTATTCATTAAAGCAAAGCAGTTTTATACCTATGTTCTCCATCTCAGATCTAATATATATGAAAGTAATCTTTATGACAGGAAGTGGCATGTAATCCTGCAAGAATGAACTGCTGTCATTATCTGAGAATCAATACCATTTTTTTTAAAGTGCCTGTAACAGTACCTATTGATTTCACATTTTCAGCATGGGACTATGAGGCTCTACAAAGGAGATTCTTACAACAACAAGAGAGCTTCAGTTGAATAAGTGAGTTGATATAGATTAACTCAAAATTTATAGTGCACTTCTCTTGAACAGCGCAACCAAGGCGTCTCTGCCTTTGCCTCAACCTGGTCTTTTTCATTTTATATAAAATATACTTTATTTTAATTATAATATTTTGAGCTGGTAGAGTAATAGCTTGTTAGTTCTACCTACAAGCTGTAGAAATTTTACCAGGCAAAACATCTTGGTGGAAGGTATCTCTGTGCACCATGAGCACAGTGTCACCAATTATTTGTAGGATGTTTGCTGTGTTTGAGGAGCTTGACCGAACACAAAAATCCCTTGTGCTGTGAAAGCACAAAACCGATGAGGTGCTGGAAAGCTCTCAGGTCACATGGGTATGGTTTGATGTGTACTAAAGGTCAGGATAGCAACATAAAGGAAAAGAAACAGCAGCCCATGGAAGATCTAAATAATGTCTCCAAGGTCACCCAACAGGTCTGTCCTGCTGTGAGCTCCGCTGAGCTGTGTTATATTCCTTTAAGACAGTTTAATGAAACTGATAAACTCTTACAATTATCCTGCAAATGAAGCATACAGCAACTTCGGGTTGATGAGTTGATCAAATAGCTCATGCTGCAATGAGGGATTGCTAATAAGAGCTGACTGCAAGGCAAGAGGTGCCGTTACCCATGGGGGCAGAAAAAAAGAGAGACTGCACCATTAAAAAAGTGGTTTGAAAGGATGGGATTAGGGAGAGTTGACATCCCAAAAGTAATACCATTAAGAATACAGACAAAACATTTATAAGTTTTAATCCTCATTTCATGCAGTAAAACAGATCCACCTCCAAGCAGTAACCAGCTARAGGTTAATTTCTTGAAAATTTAAGGGAAGATAATACAAGTGCAAATGAAATGTCTGGGGAATGCTGCACGTACATGTAAATAAACATCTTGTCTATGCCCCATCACTCTCATTTTCTCTGTGATTTGGAACCACATTCTCCTCCTTATTCTGCTTTGCTTACAGAACGCGACTCGTTTTGGAGTTGAGCGTTTTCACATAGATGGTCTATTTATCTATCAAATGCTTCTCGAATGTGCTATTGAGATATTTCAACTGAGCATTCCTGACTTTTGCGACATGCCTAAAGAATTTAGCGTGGTGTGTATGAAAAAGCTCAAACAGAAATAGAAAGCCTTTTTTTGTTGTTGTTGTTCTTTCAGAAAGCACTCTGTTTTCATGAAGGAGTTTATGGAAAGAGGGGAAAAAATACTCAAGGGAGCCATTTCTCCTATAGACAGTGAATCATCATATCATAGTTACCCCATCATCTCCAAGGGCAACACTAGGCCAGAGCTGCACTGGAAATCTACCCTAGGGACACATACATTTTTCAAAATCATCTCAGGACTCTTGCTCCAGAGCACGTAGAGACCTTGCAGAATGGAAAAGGAGTCTTTGGCAACAATAACAATAATAATAATAATAATAATAATAATAATAATAATAATGTGACACTTTCACATGAAAAAAATCTTTTTTTTTTCCCTACCTCAAACACGAAAAATATGAAATATGAAGCATATTTACAAACTATTATTTCAGACTCTAGATGGCAGCGCCAGAGGGAAAGGCAACATAGACATCGCAGCTGGATACAGGACATTTGCAGAAAAGGGGATAAGAAGGGAAAAGGGAGCCAGAAAAGCAATAATCCTTCACCATGAAGGAAAAGGCTTAAGTTCAGTTTGCTTTCTTCCATTTTCCAGCCACTCTACTTGGAGTCTTAAAGAAAAGTCAAAATTATTACATGCAGCAACACAGTGATAGCATAAATTATTTTCAAGAAGGGGTTCCTTTGCTTAACCAAAAAAAAAAATTATTGGAAATTATTTTGATCTTATCAAAATTTAACTATGGCTTGTATTACAGAGGAGGTTTTCCTCCTCTAGTTTCTCAAGTTTTCTTGCCCCTTTCTTCAGTCCAGATTGTCCACTGTAACAACAGAMTCAAGAAAAGCCAGTCAAGCGCAAGGTCTGCTTGGACACATGACTTCATATTAAAGCCTTTGGCCCCTGGATGTGTTCCATGGCAATGCCACAAAATAGTGTTTCGTGCAAATGCTCCCGGGGTGGTGTTCCTTCCCTTTAAAACATAAAATCAGGAGACTTTTGCCTGTGGCTTCCCACTGACAAGCCTTGTGCAGCTCCTTCGTGAGGTTATGGAGGAAGCACTGTGATGCCCAAAGAAAAGCCTTAGTTCTCTCTACTGCCAAAACTTCTGTGAAGTTGGACCTTGCAGAGGTCCACAGCCAACAGTCGTTCTGTCATCTACAAGCTTCAATACAGACAGGTCACATATCCATCAAGCTTATAACTTAAATGACCTAAAGCAACCTGCTGGGAAAAAAGCATCTTCTTCAGAAGGTGCATCATGGTGCTCACCATGCTTCAGCTCCAAGAAGTGAATGAGAAGAGAGGTCCCCTAGAGGCAGGGGAAAGAATCATTTCACACGATGTCAATCAAAACCATAATCCACTTATGCAGCAAGATTGTCTTTCAGAGCTTGCCTGTTATAGATGAAGCTCCAGCAGCAATTAGGCTGACCAGCTCCTCCACCAAGAGCTACCAGAGCTACACAGGCTGTGAGAAGTGCTGGAAGGAGGAAAAAAAATAGACTAAAGCTCTCAATGTTGGACCCTGGAATGGCTCGTAATTGTTCTTCTGCATTGTGCAAACTCCTGGAAAATGAGGAAGAGGCTCCTGTTTTGCAGCCTGTTTCAGAGCTCTGCGGTTCTGCCTTCCTGCAGCAGAGTTCAAGCACGTCTGCAGGAGAGTCAGTGTGAGGACGCAATGCGCCACGCAGCGCCTGCCCAGCAGGGCTCACTTGTGTTTTTAAAAGTATTCAGAAAGGAATAATGATAAGCCAAGGAGGCACAGAGACAGCTATTTTAGATAAACTAATTGGAAAAAAAAAAAAGTTTTATGTAAGAATATTCTGCAAAAGCCTCCCCATGCAGACAAGCTATAAATCAACTGTGAAACAGAAAGTGCTTTAAAAACGCCCTTTATAAGCTGCTGTGCACTGCAAATACAACCTTCCCTATGTCACATACCACAGTTTGGGGCAAAGGGCAAAGAAAGGAAGAAATAGTGGGCAGAGACACAGCTGGAGCAGACTCCCTTTGCAAATAAATAAGGCAAAAGAAAGCAGATGAGAAGAAAAAGCAACTGCTCTGTGCAGTGACMGCCAGACAAGGCTATTTCATACATTGACCCTAATCTCGATTATTTAACTCACAGATTCCATTTCCCCAACCGATGACCAGCCAGCTGCCAACCTGCAGGCTAAAATGCTGATAGGTCCTCAGACCAGGGCACATCTTGCTTGCCAAGGGGTTTCTGAAATGCTTGGGAAAAGCCCGCCAGTGCTGCCTTCTGGTCAAGAATTTAGGGTAATGGGAAGAATTTAGGTAATGGCCACTGAGGCCAAGAAGTCACTCAAGAAAGATGTCCGAGGAAAAGCATGTCCGTGTTGCCTAAAATATTTATATATTTTAAGAGCAACAAATGAGAACATCACTCCATTCAGTGCCTAACAGCTCCGGGTGTGAAATATAATTGCTGAATTCCTAAGACTACGCAGTAGGTTTTGCTCTATTTATAATGTTTCTTGCAGTCGTGCTCATCTCGCTGAAAGCAGCCTGGGAACTATTAACATTTCCTCATCAAAGATGCAGACAGACTGACAGCAACCCTGCAGTTATTCTGTGCAGTGCTTTTTCCAGAGTCCCCCAACCAGAATGCTGGCCTGTACGACAGCAGAGTTAAGCTGAGAGGAAAAGGGGAATATAATTTTAGCTCATCACCCCTTTATTTCATAGCATAGAGGAACTGAACTCCTCCTATGGCATTACGCAGCTTTTGAGAAGACAGTTGTGGTTTAGAACTGCCTGTTTAGTTTGCATTCCTGCATGGATGATCACTTCTTTAAAAGGGAGTATACATCAATAATATTCATGGCGAGTTTATAAGAGCTTGGCAAACGTTTCTGACAAAACAAAAACTCAAACAGAAGGATTACTCATAAAATGCTACATCAACAACTCTTTTGACAGGCATCTGGATTATGCTGCTCTTTTAAAGGGAAAAACAAAGATGTCACTTCTACGTTTAAATGSAAACAGAGAAATATGCTATTAAAAATATCAGAGCATAAATAAAACTATTTTTTGCAAACCCAAATGCAATGAGCAGCTCTGGCAAAGTTTGCCATGATCTTCTATCTTTTTTTTTTTTT